GGATTTTGTATTCAAGAAGAGGAGAAAATAAGAGAATAAGAGGAGAAAAGGGAGCAACTGGGTAAAGGCATGAAATGAAAGAAGAGGCTTTTGATCTGGTTCTAATAAAGTGTTTTCCAACTTTTTTTTATTTTTTAACACTACCTACACTGACACTTTACATCATTCAAATAAATACTTTTTGTGCAGCCCCTCAGTTCACCCAGTGTCAGAAACAAGCCGATGTACTTTCATTCCCTCGCACTATAAAACACCTTTCTTCTGATTGGTTGCTCCTTATGACATCATTCAAAGCCAGGACTGAAAACAACTGTCTGAAACACAGCGTTTGGAACAATCTGAAGCCAGTGTCACAAGCTTTATTTGTATATAAGTGAACCTCCTAACTGTAACTATATTAACTATATTTAATATGTGCATTCACCATCATGCGGTGTACTTATGAGATAAAATTAAGGAGTCAAAATAAAGGACTAGTCAGTAAGCTGACTGAGTGATACCTGATGAGCCTTGAAGCTTTCTGCTGACGTGTAGTTTTTCCCACACTCCTGGCAGGTGAAAGGCTTCTCATCCGTGTGACTGAACTGGTGTTTCTTCAAGTGGCCGATCTGGTAGAACCTTTTACCACATATGGGACACTTGTAGCGCCTCTCTCTGGTCTCTGAATGCCACATATGGGCGACTCCATCGGGACAAAGCGCTGCAGCCATTTCAGCTTCTGGTATCTCTGTGGAGCTTTTTCCATCTTTGGTGGAGGTCTGGCTCTGTGCCTCTAGGCGTTTGGATGAGTCGAGGCGGGCATGGAGTCGCTTCACCCGGCTGTTCAGGCAGTGAACCCGTCGGGGTTTAGCAGCCAGGCGGGAGCTGCAGCGGACAGGAGCGGGTGCAGGGAAGAGTCTGGGCTCTGCCATTATTCCTTCAGCAGAGTTACAGTGTGGCTGACTGTCCACAGGAGACGGGACACTGTCTTTGTTACCAGTTGCTGCTGTGTCATTATCAGGTGTCCTGTCTGTTACACTGTCTGTGGTATCGTCCTGCTGTCTGTCATAGTCTGGACTCGGCTCCGACAGCACCCCCTTGACTCTCTTCCTCCCTTGTGTAATTGGGTGACTCCTCTCGATGCATCTTTTGGGGTTTCTGTCTTCATCTTCTTCATCATCCTGCATTTTCTCTTCCTGTTTGTTAGCTGTCACTTCTTTATTGATTGATACACTGGCAGCTGTGGCTTCTGAATGGTCTCTCTGCTCCACCTTCTCTCCTGGCCAATAGAAATACAGTGAAGCTGTCAAAAAAACCACAAATTCTCTGTTTCCAGCTTTAAATGTCGAGAAATCTGCATTTGCTGCTTTTTTCTGCCTTATATTATGGTAAACTGAATATTTTGAGGTTTTTGTGATTTGAGTTGGAGAACAATCAGTCCCTGTTGGCTTTCAAAGGGCAGAGCACTTCCACACATGTATTTCAGTAGGAGGCTGTAGCTGGTTGCTTAGCCTACAATAAAGACACAGGTAACTAATACACCTCACAAACTAAACAAAGAGCTATCATCTGATTTTACAGAGGTTAACAAATCAGATCATTTCTTATGCTAGGCTTAAACTAGTTGGCTTCCTGCCGTGGTTACCACAAGACAGTGGCTCTTAAGCTAGTTCTTCCCCTGCCTCCAGTAATTATGCTAAGCTAAGCTAACAGGCTACTGATGGCAGCCTCAGGAGGAGGAAAGTGCTGTCAACTTCCTCATCTAAGCATGAATAAAATCATGTTATGTTGGAAACATCATTTTACTGTACAGCATAAATGTCAGTGTTAAATTATTCTTTACTTCATTGCTCAATTATCACATAATTTTTAACAAGCTATTGCTAGCTCATTCTGGCTAATGTAGCAATTGGTTAAAACATCTAGAATTCAGAACTACCAGATTTCAGACACTGCAGCATTTTTTACATTTTGTATTGCTAAACTATGCCATGGGTTTTTAAGAAGTTAAACATGGGGGACTGCAGCTGCATCTTCCTCCCCTATTAATCCTCCTATCGTCAGTATGGACAGTGCTCATCGTTGCCTTCTTTTTTCTTACCGTGCTCACTGTATTCTCAGTAAAAAATCAAATATATCTTTACATTAAAGATGGACATAGTCATTGGACATAGACACCCACTGAACTGTGGCTGTCACAGCATGTCAGGTTTTAAACAAGATGGCAGGATTATGGTATGGATCTCACTCAGATATCAATAATCGTTCACAGAGCACAACCTGAATCTACTTTGATCCTTTATACACATCCTGTGGCTGACAGTCATTCAATTTGTGCAACACTGCTGTGCCCATAAATATCACCTCTGCTGACACGGCTCGGTAATCTGGTAAAATTCCAAGCGTTAAAGATTCCGGTTGTTCAGCCTGTACGCCCAAAGACCGGATTTCAAAATGCACACATCAGGTTTACTGTGAAGTAGGACTTTAACTTACGGGGGGCAAAAAAAATTAAACCTTATTTTGGGGCCACAGTGCCAACCTTTATGTTTTACTGGACTGGTAATTCTACGCACGCACTTTTTATTTTCCACTGACTGAGATTATAATCATAATACTTGATGGTAAATTAGGTTTTCTGGACTCATAAATATAAATACTCCTAAATACTATTTACCAAACTAACCCACTGGAAGTTGTCTCCTCAGTCATTCTACTCAGTGACTTGAATATGAAGTGTACTGAAGAAAAACTAAACTTTACAGTAAATGTTTATGCTGTGCTTCTACAGCCTTTTTCCACATTCACTGCAGCCCTGTGTAGACTTGACAGAGATGCATGTGAGGATGCCAGTGGTACCTCAGCCAATCTTTAACCTAGCAAATGTGCACTTGTTAGTGCAAAGTGATGATGGTGATAGTTTGCAACTTTGCTGTCACTGACAGCCCAGTTATTTAAGCTCTCACATTTAAAGCAACTGAAGTCTGAATGCTAGAACACAGTTTTTGTATCCTAGCAACAATGAGCGCTTGACAGAAGTGCTCAGAAAATGAGGTCGTAGACACTTAACACGGAAACAGCAGCCTGTGGACACGAGCCCCATCTGAAAAATAACTCAACAAGTTCAACATGTTCAACAAGTGCAGCACAAGAAAAACTAAGCTGTTGTAACCGTCTGTCTCTTATCTCTGGACTGCAGTGAAACATGGACTAAACCAGCTTCAGAACTAATGCGGCAAAGCTTTTGTGCCTCAATTATATCTGTATCACTGTATTTATGTTAATGTTGTGCCTTTATGTCCTAAATATCCACCGAGCACCGCTGTGCTGTCCGTGCGCTAATTAGGTTTAGAAACAAATGTCTTTATTGCATTTAATGACTTATAAACCCATATTTAGACAAACACATACTACTTATGGACAGTAGTTGTCTGTTTTATGATTTGCTTGCTGTGTTTTTCTTCTGGAAGGATTTCAAATATTTTCCATCTATTTCATTGCTTACCTTTGTTCTTTCATTATTTCTTGTTCATTTTAATTCCTTTATGTACTCGTTATTATATTCTTTATATTGCAATTTTCTTTCGCCCCTCTAAATCTAATTACTATCTGCCACCACAACAATGTAACCTCCCTGCAGGGATCAATTGCTTTTATCTTATTATCTTTCATTTAGCATTCAAAATTGTGTTGGAAATGCATTTGAGATTTATAGCTTCAGCCTGAATCAACACAACATAAGCACAAGTTTAATAAGACATCCACAGTCTGGTGCTTTTGGGTATTTTCTGCATGAAGCTCCTCCTCAGCGTCCCATTGATCACAGCATATAGCACATCACTCCTCCACAAACATAAATAATAAAAGATAAGCAGAGCTGGAGAGTATATTATTGTCTCTAAAACAAATAAGCTCAACATTTGTTTTCTTCCATTTTCCCTTTTAATTAATGCATTCTGTGTTCCAGATTTTTTTACATCTACTAATTATTAATCCCGAGCTTCCATCCTAGTTTTCAGTGACTTTTATCTGACTGCAGAGATTTTTCAGCGTGCAGTTCTCGGCTGAAACTAAATGATGCTGTTAAACATGAAATAATGTTGACATAGAAGCTGAAACATTCAAGTCTCAGACCTACGGATTGGAAAATGTCCCCCTCGATCCTGCAGGTGAAGCACATAAATCAGCATAGAGAGAAAACTGCACCTTACCCACTCGAACTTCTGTTTGCACACTTCACAACAACAGCTATATGAAGTACAAGAAGTACTCCAAGAGTACGAGTATTTCCAGCAAATGTGTCTGATTTGTTAACTCATCTTGACATTTGCAAAGGGTTGGATACACAAAGATATATCTATGCAACTTTACCCAGAAACCATCCACCTAGGTGTGCTCTTTTATGCAACTTTACAGTCAGCCGATCATGTGATCCTGGTTTAATACATAAACTCTTACAGATACGGATCAGGAGCCACAGATATATGAACATGTAATAACTGAAAGGGCAAAATGTTATCGCAGACTTTAACTATGACAGGCTGGTTTCTGATGCTGCTGATCTCCTGGCATCTTCATCGCAGCAGCACTGAAATGTCTTGTTCATGAGAAGCATTAAGAACTCAGATCACGACTCTTTCTAACTGCACTGAGCAGAGACAGCCACACAACGGTTGAGAAAAGTACAGAAACAGTAAGCTGCAGTGGGTTTAAGCTCAACCAAACTAGACTGCTGAAGAGTGGAAATAAGGAGACTTTACTGCTAAAAGTCATTTTATGAATTGAATCCACATATCATCATAACAACAGGCTGATGCTTGTGTTACAGTGTTTTTAACATTAGGACGATCAGCATAACGAGACAATCCCTCGAATAGCCTGTTGATGCCACCACAGCTTTCCTTGGAGGCCAGACGACCTGATTACAAACATCATCTTCTTTTGGCTAATGCTTAGCCTAGCTTAGTGTAACTTAACTTGTTTGCTAGAAAGCTAACCCTAATAAGGAGCCACATCTGCTTTTTTATTTATTTGTGGAGTTTGTAGCTAGCTGCTCACTGTTGGATTTTTAAGACAGCATTAAGGCGATGCATTGAAAAGCAGCATACGCATCATATTCTTTGGATTTTCACAGAAACCACATCATTCAGACAGAAGTAACGAGCTAATACAAAGGCCACATGAAGCTGGGAGGTCTGTAGTGGCTAACTCTGCAGAAAGTCTGCAATTCTGCCTCAGCATCGCTCATTTGTTGCCAGTCAGGAATATTCAGCAGCGAGGACATTTTGTGACTGGACAGGTGGCATCCTATCACGGCACAGATGCTTGATTTTACGTACTTGTGACCATGAAAGTGATTGGAAGACCTGAGTTCAATGACCTGGATGTGATTTTACACACAGCCTTCTATTTTGGGGAGCTCAAATCTAAAGAGCCGCTCATTCGTTTCCATGACTAACTGCAGCTTAAGAAGAAAGTCTGTGAAGGTCCTCAGTCATCCAGGTCATCGTAGTCAAAGGAGCTTGCAAAGAAAAGCGTCTGGACTTCTTTAAGTTGCTTGAAGACGTTTCACCTCTCATCCGAGAA